GGTCTTTGGGAGGTAATTGGCAGCAGGCAGTCTCTCAAGTACCCAGGTCCAATACCATGAAGGGCTTTATAAGTAATGACTAGCACCTTGAAGCGTATCCGGAGACCGATCGGAAGTCAGTGCAGCTCGCGGAGGATAGGTGTAACGTGGGTGTATCGAGGTACACCCACAATCGCTCACGCGGCTGCATTCTGGACGAGTTGAAGGGCTGCCCCATGTAGAGAGTTTGACCATTGCAGTGTGTCCCAGAGTGATGGCATCACTCTGTGGCTTTTGTGGCTTTGTGACAAAGACTGTAGGGAAGCCAGTTTCACTTCACAACTTAACAACTTCAGCCCGTTCCTAACTTAACAACTGCAGCCACTCACTTAGCCACTGTGGCAAGAAAGAGTATAAAACGGGGCAAAACTCACTCAGCCGCCGTCTTGCTGAGTTGTGATCGTTAAGTCTAGGACGGATATTTAAGTACAAATAGGCGTGACTCACTTAACTGCCTGGCAGATGGGAAATTGTGCTCCCAATTGTGTTAAGTCAGAAACTTCCTCTATGCCTCAATTTGCTGGATACCTTTATTTTTTTTGCAAAGGTAAAGGTTCCCCTCGCACATCTGTGCTAGTTGTTCCTGACTCTAGGGGGTGGTGCTCACCTCCATTTCGAAGCCGAAGAGTCAGCGTTGTCGAAAGACGTCTCTGTGGCCATGTGGCCGGCATGACTAAACGCTGAAGGCGCATGGAACGCTGTTACCTTCCCACCAAAAGTGGCCCCTATTTTTCTACATACATTTTTACATGCTTTCAAACTGCTAGGTTGGGAGAAGCTGGGGCAAGTAACGGGAGCTCACTCCGTTACGCGGTGCTAGGGATTCGAACCGCCGACCTTTCTGATTGAGAAGCTCAGCGTCTTAGCCACTGAGCCACTGTGTCCCTTTTGCAAATGAAGCCCCCCAAAATTATTTACCTGCAATGGATTGATGCTTGCCTGCACCACCGTTATGATTTTGTTTGCTTCCGCTTTTCAGACAATCAGTTCAAACCCAAGCCTCGTCTAAAGCCAGCGGTCAACCGAAGGGCCATGTCTGTTCATGAAGAGCAGCTCAGGGAGCAGGCTTGTGCGGCCGAGCTTCATCGTAAGTAAAGACTGACAAAGAAGTTCTTGAAAGACTTCTAAAAAGCGAGGGGAGGGTGAATGTTGATTCAAAAGAAAATTTGGGATAGAATTCCCTTTCCAAGTCAATGTTTTCCTGTCATTTCAGATGTTGTTAATGTTTAAGAAGAAATGTCTATATTGCCTGAAATGGCTTCCTTGCAATCATGCAAAGGGGAGGGGAGGGGCACTATGGAAATTTACGATGTTTAATCAGAAGTGGGGGGGGCGGGAACAGTGCAGAGCCATAGTGTGGTATCTGTTAGAGCAGAGGTCGGCAACCTTAAACACTCAAAGAGCCACAAAGGTCCTAACTGGAAGCCCCCTAGTCAATCCTGAAGCCGATTGGAAGGCCAGTTCCCCCACCATAGTCTCCTCCTAGCACGGCATCCTTTTTCCTGTACCTGTCGAAAACCCTATCAATTGTGAAGTCGACCGGTGACAGGGAGCCGCAGTAGAGGAATGAAAGAGCCACATGCAGCTCCAGAGCTGAAGATTGATGACCCCTGTTTTTAGAGGAAAGATTTCTATGGGGCCACTTCAATTTGCCATTCTTATTATGGGTTATTGCAGGGCTGTCAAACTCGCGCTCTGCGGGCTGGATGCGTCATGCGCTGGCCACACCCATGCCCGGTTTAGCGAACGGAGGAAGTCATGATACATCACATGACACTGCCATGATGGCACACGTTGGACACTTTGTATTGTTATTGTATCACAGAATATAAATTGGCAGAGCAATTCATTTTCACCTTTGCCCTTTGTGCATTTTAGGCTGAAGGATGGACAGGTGAAGGGAAGAGAAAGTACAATTACCTGTTGATAATAGATGAGCAGACAATGATAGGAACCTGAAATACAGATAGTCCTTGACTTATGACCACAGTGGATAGCAGAATTTCCGTTGCTAAGCAAAGGTTAAGTGAGTCACGCCCCCTTTTACGAGTTTTGCCATGGTTATTAAGCGAGCCATGGCAGTTGTTCAGTTAATCATGGAGTCCTTAAGCAAATCCAACTTAAAGATGTTAACGTTTCACTTCTACCATGTTTCCCCGAAAATAAGACAGGGTTTTATATTATTTTTTTGCTCCAAAAGACACAGTAGGGCTTATTTTCTGGTTAGGTCTTATTTTCAGAGAAATACGGTAACAATTGCATCTGTCTGGCTGATGACCTTAACTGGGGCTTATTTTCGCGGTAGGCCTTATATTACGAGCACCCTGAAAAATCATGCTAGGGTTTATTTTCCCATTGGGTCTTATTTTGGGGAAAACATCATTTACCCATGATAAATAGCTGGAAACAAAGACATAGGTTTTGTAGTGCATGCTTATTTTCATTCAGGTATAGACCTAGACTAGAAAAGTGTGGGAATTCAAAGTAATATAACTGTATCCTAAAGCATACAGGCTCTGGCCTGCAGCTGCTGCTATAGACTCAAAGCAGGAACAGGTAAAAGTGAGGTTTCTTGCCCTCCCCTCCTCCCCCCAGTTCTGATGAAGCATGGTTTACATCACTGTCTGCCGTACATTCTGAATAAAACACAGCAAAACTGCCGGTCCTACTTTTGTTCTGGATTGCAAGATGTCCTTTCTGGATTTAGTTCACATGGCCTGTATTCCTTACAGATGCAAAAATCCCTCTTTGTTTGCAACGCTCCCCTATTCTGAAATGGAAGACTAAGCCCAAATTTCTGTTGGAGACTGGACTATCTGCACCCTCGGATTCTCTAGGTAAGAGAAAGGGAAGTACCCCAACTTTACTCTTCCTAGATATAAACTCATCTTCTGAATTGTAAACATCTCCCACGTTCTTTGCAAAGTTTAAGGACAGGACTATATTGATCATTGTTAATAGCAATAGCACTTAGATTTGTATACCTCTTCACAGTGCTTTTACAGCCCTCTCTAAGCGGTTTACAGAGTCAGCCTCTTGCCCCCAACAATCTCATTTTACCAACCTCGGAAGGATGGAAGGCTGAGTCAACCTTGAGCCGTGAGAATTTAACTGCTGGCAGTCGGCAGAGTTAGCCTGCAATACTGCATTCTAACCACTGCTCATCATGGATGGATGGATGGATGGATGGATGGATGGATGGATGGATGGATGGATGGATGGATGGATGGATGGATTGGCAACAGCATTAGCACTTAGACTTATACACAGCTTCACAGCGCTTTTACAGCCCTAAGCGGTTTACATAGCCTCTTGCCCCCAACAATCTGGGTCCTCATGTCACCCACCTTGGAAGGATGGAAGGCTGAGTCAACCTTGAGCCTGATGAGATTTGAACTGCCAAACTGCTGGCAGCTGGCAGTCAGTAGAAGTAGCCTGCAGTACTGCACTCTAACCACCGCGCCACAACGGCTCATAATCAAAGCAGGGGTAGAATCACCTAGAACTTATGATGCTCAGCCAACCTCCATTGAGTGCTCTATGTTGTTTGAAGAGCATTAAAGCATCCTTTGCAAGAAGTTCTCTCAATTCTGATTTCTTGGGGTCCCCTTGCTTCTGGGAATTGGGCTGTTGTCAATCAATCCAGTTGTGTTGATCATTTGCGGGGACTTTTTTCTAGGCCCTCCCCCACAAGAACAGAATGTGGTGGACTCCGACTCAAGAGAAGAAACAGAAGAAGAGCTGCCCCAAGCTATAGAACAAACTCTAAAGAATGCACAAAATACAGCGTTAGACCAAAGAACTGCTGTGCCCCTCTCCAAGTCTCCAATACACGAGCATTGAATGATTCTGCAGGATGGCTGCTCTATTGAAGGAGGACAGAGTGAAGGCTTACGGTTTGAAGCAACAGCCAGCGGCGAGGGTGCAAGTTCTTTGGTACAAGGATGAACAAGGGACCGGCCCTCCCATAGCTCCTTGGCTGGAAGAACTGGGATTTCCAGTGATGGATAGTGGCATCTAATCCCCTGCACGTCTTTCTGGATCGCCCTGTTTCATCTTTCATCCTTGTACACGCTCATCAAAGTGCCCAGTATTCTAACGGTTTGTGTGAGAAAAGCCAAAATCTCAAGTCTGCAGGAGACGGGTCTTTTCCAGCAGAAGTTGTACAGTTGGTACCAGATGTGACAAATTTGATAGTGCCAGAAACTGAGAACCACCAGCAGGCGGGATGGGGGTTGTTTTACATACACTAAACTTGCTTGCCTTGCATTGTATGTTTTGGAAGTTTGAGACTAGGCTAGTGTGTGGTTTGTAGGGGGGAGTTAAAAGCAGGCACTCAGTTAAACCAGGTACATGTCTTTCATAGCAAACTTACTCCGCTGCTATCCTACACCATATTTGTCCTTAAGGTCTTATTTCCTTCTGTCCACATCCTTTTGCAGTCTAGGAACAATACTGTCATGCCAAAACCAATATTTGCTGGCACCAACAAGAAGTTTGGTGTGAACAAGGTAGGAGGCGCAGTGTGCATCGTAGCAGCTTTCAGCCAGGTTAACCCAAAGCAGGTGGCAGCTCCTCCTGTCCACGATTAAATCTGCAAATTTGCAGTCATTCCCATCTCGTTTATTCTGGTGTGATTAGGCCTCTCTTCTCGGCTCCGTTAACATTGCTCCAAGATTCAGAAGTGCTTTGCTGTGGCAGAGAAGATGGGAGGAATGGAGAAGACTTTTCATCGATCGTGGCATCACACCAAGCTTGGTGTTTCTGTTCAAACTCATTGTGAAGATGCTTAACCCGTAGCCTTGTCTCACGAATCAGGATCTGCGGCCTTCTCCTTAAAGCAAACACCTTACCCTAAATCCATTGGCTTTCAAGGAGGCTCTAGGAAATAGTTAGTTTTTACAATATGAATCGCTTAACTTGTTACAAGCTCCTTACATCCGAAGCACTAGCACATAGACGAAAGGGTAAGTACATATTTCTCCACACTGATAGCCTGCAACTAAACACTGTGTTAAATATAGATACATACTCTGAAAAGAAAAATTGCAGCTTTTTCGTAGAGCATTTGGTACTTTCACCACTAGCCTTTTTTTCAGACACTGGAAGGAAAAAATATGTGGTGCTCAGCTAATGTGAGTTATATTCTCCAGAGGACTGGAAAGGTTATCTAACTTTCAGTTGAGACGTTTCCGGCCATTGGGGAAAGTTCAGAATCCCATCATCTGAAGGCATTCTTTGAGGAAGACTGAAAAAAAGCTTTTGCTTCCGGCTATCGGTGAATTTGGATGGACAGAAGAAGGAAGACTTATGAACCACACCACAGTTAAGATAAATGAAGGATATATGCAGATGTAGAGTTCTCACAACAGTGTCTACTAGCGCAACGCCACATACACACGAACCTGTTTCCACACAGATAACATTTTGGCATAATGGTTCAATTACCAATCATCCTCAACCACAAGAGACGCTCAGTGGGAGTTGAGCTCCTTGTAACTGTACTTGGGTATCTGCCATCTAGTACCAGGTGATTATTGCATGCATCTTTTAAAAATATTCTAGCACAAACAGCCAACTTATTTACATTAAGGTCCTTATTTTAAAGCAAAGAATCACAGAATTTTATTTTAACTTTCAAACTATGTTTGAGTGACTGTGCTCGAATTTGGAAAATTGGCACACAAGGTATATTTTTTATCAAGAGCTGTGCTGTTGTATTTTTCCTAATTTGTTTTAATTTTCAAAACATTTTATCAAGCATGTAAGCTATATGAAGTATTTTGTAATTAAATGAAAGGAGGAAATGACAAAAATGATTAAAAATAACATTTTAATGCATACTGATGTTGGCTTACAATTGTTTAACAACTTTATGGCAATTTTTTTTTAACAAATATATACCGTTGTAGAAACCATTCACCCCTTAAAGCAAGAAGTTTTAATTTGTGTAGCATTTCACTAGATGAATTTCTATTAGAATAATGGACGTTTTACCTTCTTCCATGGTCTTTCTCAATGCCACCCTCAAGTTATCTTAATGACACACAGCATATATGTGTCTCCTGCAATGCTCTACAAATTTTAGTATTGCTTTCCTCCATAGTTATCTAACGAAATGGATAGCAGACTGACAACAGACAAAGAAAGTTCTTTATAAAATTCTGAACTATGAAGGCTACAAGAAAGAATTACTTCCATTTCTTCATGTTGTAACAGAGATAAAAGAGATTCATGAGTATCAAGCATAACCTGTACTGGAACTTGCCACTTTAGAAGCATGAGGATATAAATTCTGTCGCTGGAGAATAACATCAGAGAGTTATTTGTCGTCATAGTTTGCAGGCTTACTACTGGAATCTCACACACTGCAACAAACCAGACTGGAAGGAGACCCATGAATGAAATGTTGTATTCTAGACTTCACAGCATTGAAAACCACCATGTGGTTCTAGCTACGTGCTGATGCTTTGTGGATTTAACTCTGGACAAACTCCTGAAATTTAAGGTGCAAGTGAATTGTGCAACATGTAACACAGAATAAATTTCTCTATCTAAAGTGTAAGTCTCTTAAGGGAGCAAAACGGACCAGCTCTAAAGGCACCGTAGGCTACCGATCCTCTCTAACTTCAAAACTGGATATACTTAAAATACCTGTAAATCCCTTATTGCAGATAAATTTACAGGTTTTGCATGCCAGCAAGCACACTAGCTTAGGAACTGTAGTTTCCATATGTCAGCTTTTAAAGGCTACATTTCTTTGCATTGTATTTATAACCAACTGTAAAAAAACACAGCTTCCCCATAACTTAGCAGGTGGCACATCTTCATTATCAAAAAATCAAAGCAATCTTTGCTGGAGACATCCAAACAATCAGATGAAAAGGTGATGGGATCCTTCCTTTTCTGCATGTGAAATTGGAACAACATATCTTATCTTCAGAAAAACAGAATTAACCAAAAAAAAACCAAACCTAAACAGTTTAACAATAACAAAAATGTCTAGGTAACTCAGCCTGAGATCAAAAAAGCTTTGGGAAGTTTATTGCTTCTCGGAGTTGTTGAAAACCCAGCGCGCCCATTCCAGTGACGTTCTCGAGATCCTAGAGATCAAAAACAAGAAACATGAAAGCACGAGACTGGAAGGTAAGCAAATATTCAAATGTGTTGGGTTTCAGGAGCGAAAATGTGGGGTTATTATAGGTTGATTTTATGGAAAGCGGCAGTTGCTCCACAAATTGTTCTCCATAAATATATGGTTCTTCTGGCCCAGCACCAGAGGTGGTATTCTGCCGGTTCAGGCCAGTTTGCACAAATCCTGGGTGGCCCAGCCCATCCTCCCCGGTTCTATGGCATCCCATTTAGGCCTTTTTTTTAGCCAAAGCGCACACGTGGAAGGCTGAGCGCATGCACAGATGTGGCATGTGTGAGCGAAGCAAGGGTGTGTGCTCACATTTGCAAACCGATAGGGAAGTTAAGTGAATACCACCCCTGCCCAGCACATGTAACACCCTTCCCATGATATGTGTGACTAGCTAAGAAAGAAACTAACCTTGCAGACAGCACTTGAGAGCAGAGGTCTGATGCAGGTGGGTTATGTAGATGGTTAATACTGTCTCCTTCCTCATTCTCCTAAGAGTGAAAGAGAGAGAGGGGGAGAGGGAGAGAGAGAGAAAGAGAAGCAAAGTGAATCCTTGTTATTTTTAAAAACTCTAATCATATTTAAGTCGCTATTTTGGAACAATTTGAGGATGAGGGAAGACTTAGGAGGAGTTGAGTAAGAAACCAGCAATATGGTTTCCCACAGGTATCCAAAGTGTGCTTTAAGTCTCACCCAAGTTCAACTAAAGGTAGTCCTCGACTTACAACAGCTCATTTAGCGACCGTTCAATGTTATAAAGGGACAGCTGCTTTACAAACTTATGACCACTAGAGCATCCCCATGGTCACATCATAAAAATTCGGACGCTTGGCAACTGGTCCATATTTATGACGGTTGCAGTGCCCCAGGGTCATGTGATCACCTTTTGCACGCTTCTGACAAGCAAAGTCAATGGGGAAACCAGGTTCATTTAACAATTAGCAATAGCAATAGCAGTTAGACTTATATACAGCTTCATAGGGCTTTCAGCCCTCTCTAAGCGATTTACAGAGTCAGCATATCACTCCCACAGTCTGGGTCCTCATTTTACCCAACTCGGAAGGATGGAGGGCTGAGTCAACCTTGAGCTGGTGAGATTTGAACCGCTGAACTGCAGATAGCAGTCAGCTGATGTGGCCTGCAGTACTGCACTCTAACCACTGTGCCACCTAGGCACTGCAACAATTGCAGTGATTCACTTAACAAATGTCTCAGCAACATAAATTTTGGGCTCAATTG